GTCATTCTTGTCGCGTTTTCGAATGAATTGTGTCAATATCGATGACATGCGTGGGTGCGCGAAGAGATTGCAGAGATAGCATGCGCATATAGAGGAGGTCGGAGTCGCGTGGAAGTGGCGCATTAGTGAACAGGTTGCAATGGTACACAGGCACGCTACAGGTGTAGTTTGAGCATCCAGATCCTCAGGGCTGTCATGCGACCCTGTATCGCTACACCATGAACCAAACCGCAACAGTCCCGAGATGATCGTGTGCTGGTATACCTGAGTAACACCTGGAATGCTCTGTCGCAATGCCTTAAATCGGTATACGGTCGTGTCAAACTCCAGGAATCTATTGCGATGGGCGTCCAAGACGCGGAGAGACTTGCGCAACTTGGAGATATATTTCCGAGTATTGGCGCTGGATATGAGGGTATCGGAGGAATACTCGGGAAGGAAGCACGTGGAGAACGGGCCTCCTCCGCACTCGACTACCTTCCCGAGCCAAAGGACAAGCAGCTACGCAACCACTCCGGTGAGCACGGCTTCTGGAAGCAGGTTGAAGCAGCACGGAAGCAAGCTGACACCAGGGCTGACCCAGTGCTGCGGACGCGATCTGGGGCAGATTTGCTGTTATGTAAAGAGTTCGGAGGATGCGGAGCGGCAGTCTGGGGAAAGGCATTGTCGTTAGGTAACATTTGCAAGGTACGGATGGTAGCGCAGAGCCTCAATCTGGGGCAGCTGTTGTCGTTAGGTAAGACGTGTGGTAGCGTGCTCGGCAGCGTGCGAAGCTCCAGTGGGCCTGACATGACATGCGTCCCTAGAATGTCGTAAGGCGCCATCACTAATCCGCTCGACGTCATATCTGCTCCCAATGCGATTGCGCATCGTGTCCCTCCGCTGCTCCGCCGTGCGCTCTTCTCAACGGCCTTGGTTCCGCTGATCACAATGTATTGCACCTCGCAGCCCTTCAATGTCAGAATTGCACGACCCTTACGCCAAGACTGACGCCGGCTTGTACCAGATCGCGCGAAGGAGGTTGAGGAGCGGAGACTAGGCCGTTGTCCACGCTCGCGATTCCCGCTGCTGGGACATCGGATAGAGTCTGTGGGGTCGAACAGGATGCGGGGAGAGGATGCGCGTTGGTATGCCTTCAGGGTGGAGGAGACTAAAGCTTTGCGTGCGTTGAGCCAGTCGTTGTCGCAGAGGATGACGTGATACCGCCGGCAGTGGTCGATGTAGCGCGTTTCGACGCCCGGGTGAGTTGCGGAGAAGGAAAGTTCCGGAGCGATACAAGCCGTTCGTGAGTCGCTTGAGCGCGGTGTTGTGGCGCCGTGGGTATGGCTTCGGGCCGTGGCGTAATATTCCAGAAAAAGTCGCGCATGGCGTTACCGCGCTGGAAATAGTCTATCTGCACGGCGGGCGAGCAAGAGCCCGCGTCCACACGCCTATGATATCGCTACCCGTTGGGGGAATATAGTGTACATTATCCGAGCCGCTGTCCTTGACATTTGACCACACGACAGGACTTTGCAAACTATCGTGCATGTTCAAGGCTGACCAAAGTAGAAGGAGTGAAATGAAGACATTCTCAGAACGTGTCAATTCAGTTTGAACCCACGTCGCAGAGCTACTACACAGCGTACCTCACCTTAAAACTAACCGACTCAAAAACATCCCAATCCTCCTCACTTTCCTCATCACCAAAGATGCGCAACGCACTAACTTTCATCTTATACGCCCCCTCATCAAGCACCGTCCCATCCGCCATCAACCCATTAAAGTACGCGCGCACCTCACCTCTCGCAACGTACGTCTGCGGAAATCCAGCCAACGCACCCAACACCTTGTCTTCCTGCACCACCTCGACGCGCACCAACGACGATCCTACAATAGTGCCAACGTATACATTCGGTGTGTTTTGCATGTCACCACGGTCGGTCAAGGGCGGGTTCTCGGGATCCGGTCTAGGGATGGTGTAGGATACGTTCGCAGGCGCGGGCGAGTATCCTTGCGCGAGGTAAACTTTGTCGGCCGTTGCGATGGGCACGTCGCGCATGTTTCCGACGACGCCTAGATAGGGTAGGTGGAGCTTGTCGCCGATGCTGAGGAAGCCGCTGTAGACGGGGAGTAGGGTTGCGTTTACACCTGCGGGTGGTGCGATGTCGACGGTCACCTTGGCGGATTGACCAGCGGGGACGGTGATGCGGTCGGAGGAGAAGGAGACGGTAGCCCATGAGTCAACGGCAGGGTTGGGGAATACGCCTGTACGTAGGTCGGGGACGTTGGGTTGCATGGTGTACACTGTGACGGCTTTGCGGTGGCCCAAGTCGAGCACCTCGTCAGTTGAGCCAGTGTTCTTTATGCTGAAGGTTCGAGTGCCGACAAAGTGTTCCGTGTCGTTTAGCATGAGACTGTCGACATCGAGTTCAAGAGTGGTGTGGGCAGCGTTCCACGCTTGGATCAGCCCGGCGCCTTGCTGTGCAACTGGAGCAAGAATGTCGGGGTATGCCTTCGTACCGTCATGCCATGCAAGTGGCTTGGACGTGTGTGTAAGGATCCTGCGAAGTCGCTCTGGTTCCAGCTTGCCGTATACCTCACCAAGCATTGCGTAGACACCTGCGACCAGCGGCGTTGCCATACTGGTACCAGTCATGACGCGGTAGCTACCCAAAGCCGTCGGATACGTGCTCAAGATGTTCTCTCCGGGTGATACAATCTGTGGCGTCATGCTCAGCTCCCAGCTTGGGCCCCAGCTACTCAGCTCGCCCGCGACATATCCGCCGGTCTCATTGTTTTCAAGCTCCTCGAGGTGCGTTTGGGTTCCATTCGCGGGTATTGTTACGGATACGGTGCTGCCCTGCGAAAGGAGGGAAAGCCAACGCTCAGCAACGTATGGGACAGCCTTGACTACTCCTGCGATACCGTCGGCGTAGACGTATGGCTCGTCCCGCATCGTCAGGTTGCTGCGCTCATAGTAGACCATAAATCGTGCACCCTTCGCGGCGAGATTCGCGCCTTGATCTTGCGGATAGCACTGGGTTGCTCTTGCATCCTTGAACTCCAGGAGCACGATGCGCTGGCTCAGATCTGGCGTGTCATCAGGCAAGGGCTTGCAAGCGTCATCGACATCGGCAGCAGACCAAAGCTGGAGTGTTGTGTCGGCAGCAAATTCAGGTACCCCCATCAAGAAGCCGAAGTCGATCGTACCGTTGCTGGTAGCATTAGCACCAGTCGTGTAGGAGCCTCTCTCGAGGAACGTGGGGAATTTCGTATTGGACACTGCTCCCGTACCCGTGACGCTATACCCCGTTGCCGGTGTAGAAGCGTAAAACATGCCCTGGCCTCCGCCGTTGCCTTCGGATATCACAACTGGAATGCCGGAGTCGACAATGCGGGAGATGATGATAGCGCGTACATCCTGCGCCCAGCCCGACTCATCGCCGTTGGAGTAAGAGATGATATCTGCGCCGTCCTCGACAGCGCGAGCAAATGCCATCAGCTCGATCTCGTTCGTGGAAGTCGATGTGCAGCCCCACATCCTGTATGCACCTAGCTTTGCTCCAGGAGCCGAGCCTGTGAAGCCATACTCGTTGCCTTCGAGCTGAGCGGCAATGGTGCCTGCAACGTGGGTACCATGTCCACCGCAATTGTCCATGGGGTCGTCATCGGGCTCAGGGAGTGTCTTGCCTGGTATGTAGTTGTCGCCGATGAAGTCGTACCCTGCTTCTACCAGACAACCCGGACCAAAGCATCCGCCGAGTGCTGGGTGGGTGTAGTCGAGACCGCTGTCAACGATAGCGACGCGGAAACCTTTGCCGGTGACGCCTTCCGCGTGCAGCTTGTCGACCTGGGTCATGACATGGGGAGAGAATGTACGCTCGGAGGTGGTTTGCCGCTTGGTGTGCTTCTGCTGGGAGGGTACTGCAACACTTTCCTCGCCTGAACGTGTGGTGATGCGCGTCGGCCATATGTTCTCGACCTGCGGTTGGGCCTTCATCTGACGTAAGAAGTCCCCGCCAGTCGAGTTCGAGCTTGACCTCTTGACTTGGAACGAGACGCCTTTGAAGAAACGGAAGCTCAGGTCCATGCGAGGCTCAACTTGTACGCCGCTGGCTGCAAGAGACGCGTAGAATGACTCCGGTGTCTCATTGTCATCCGCGAACTCGACAATGTAGGCACCGGGCATGATGCCGCCTGCCACCGGCGTGTCATTTTCAGCTCGTTGTACAATCGCATTCGGTTGGAGTCGAGGATGGATTGGCGTTGAAACAGCAACTTGCGCACCCAGAACAAGGGCCGCGATGGCGCAAGAGATCTTTCCCATTGTCAAAAGCGAGCGTGAGGAGGATGCGTGTCTGGCATCGCAGCCATGATAACCATTATATCTGTACGAAAACCAAGCCCGTAGCGTTATCTGGAAGCTTTCGGGACATGTCGATGTTCATGCGCACTTCGTATAGCACGGTCAGGTTGCCCAATGTGCCCTGTGGGTGGACAGGAAATAGAAACACCAGCATGGAGATCGTGGATAGTGTCCACTTTTCAATATTAGCTATCGGCCCCTTTCCCCATTGCGGACTACCACCGGAGAATTCAGGCTTCTTGCGGACCGAGCCTTGGCCGTTATGGCGGTGACTGCTTTAACTCTCTCACAAAATCCGATCTGCATCGTAAGATAGCCATGTTGCTGTCCGAATACGATGCGATAACGCGTGATGCGATTTCTTGGGGGAGAAGGACCGAGCTGTGAGCGGGGTCAAGAAAGCGCTTTGGCTTCATTCAGCGCGCTGTGAGCGTGCCGCTTCGTATTGGAGGGGCCTCACAAAATCCACGGGACATTCACGAAGGCACATGGCATTTGACGACAGGCGAAGGATAACGCAGTGTTTGTTCGAGATTGAAGATGTGACCTCAGCTCATGTCACGCGGAAGTGGCGCCTTCACTGGTGGGGCTTCAGCGCCTAGCGCGCCCGCCCCGCGAACCGCCAGTGCACTCTCCACATCCACTACCCAACTTACGACATCGTCGCATTCGCAGTCTTCTTGAACAGAAAACTGATCATCGCTCTACCTGGCACACTTGCGCCTGCAGTCCCATCGCTTCCCACGGTCACACTCGCAACACTCATATCGTGAGTATTATCCGTATACCACGCCTTCACATCCGGATACCCAGCCAGCGCAACACTCACACTCTGCGCACCCGCCGCAGAATTAATAACCACAACCGCCACACTCCCATCCCCATTAACAAAAGCACCAGCCTTGACATTCGCCCCACCACTCGCCCCCACCCTCACAGCACCCGGCCTAACGACGCGAAACTGCGCGAAAGCCCAAAGCCGCTTGCTAACCTGGTAGTTCTGGCCATCAACAAGAATAAGCTTCTCGTTGTTATTATTATTCGTAGCGCGGTCCTGGACGCCTTCCCAGAAGATGTACGCGGACAGATTGGAGTTTACGACACCGTTGAAGACGGTGTTCGCCCAGGTGAAGCCATCGCCGGCACCACCGTTGGAATACCAGGCTGTGCTCCACCCGCCGCTTAGGTCTGAGTACTCGGTTTGCCAGACGCGAGCGGCAGTGCGCATGGTGCCGCTGATGCGCGAAGTGTACTCGTGTGAGGTGATGGCGTAGACGAGGCTTTCGGCGCCGGCAGAGGCGATCTGCTGCGCGTGTTGGGTTGCGACGTTCCAGCCTGTGGCTTCGCAGCAGTTTATGCCGACGGAAGTCAGGTTTGCACGGTCGAGTGTGGGGCGGAGGACTTTAATGAACTCGGCGGCTTGGGTGCCGGATGATTGCATTGAGGCGTACGAGGTGGATAAGTCGGGCTCGTTGAGGAAGCCGAGGTGTGTGACTTTGACGCCGGCTGATGCGTAGAAGTTGATGTATGCGACGAGGTAGTTCGCGTAGGCTTGCTTCCAGTCTCCAGAGCGGCAATTGGTACCAGAGACCTGGGGTAGGTTAGCGGACGCGATGAGGGAACCTCGGGGATGCACGTACACCACAGAGCTGGCCGCCGTTGGTGTCCTGGTTGTTTGTCTTCATGCATCCAGGCGCACTCCATGCATTCGCGTAGAAGGTATTTACGCCATACTCTTGTGCTCTCTGGCTGAGGAACAACTGTCCGCTATCCTTAGCATCCCAGACGTACCCGCTGTAGTTCGTAGTGACTTCCGCTGGTGTGCTTGGGCATTTAGGAAGGATCGTATTCATGAAATCGCTGTTGCTATTCGGCGTCGAGCCAATACCGTTGCGCACAATTGAGAAGCCAGCGCCGGTGGTCGTGTTGAAGAGGAGATCGAGAACCGCGCGCTGTTTGGGCTGCTGAAGATTGACGATGAGGTTTGCGCGCTGGAATGCGCCTGAGAAACCGAAGCCGTCGATTGTCTGGTATCTCTTCGTCAGGTCGATGGTGACTTTCTGCTGTGCTTGGCGACTTTCTAGAGAGACTGCCAAAGTGACATGCGATATGGCCGCGAGGGCTACAAGATGTGACAGTGCAGGATACATGATGCTTTCAATGACGAGGGAATGAAGAAGACTGCGGAAAGCATCTTGGTGAAGTATATGTTGCGGTTGAGATGTGGGGCTTGAACAGGCTGTTCATCGTATCGTTCAATCTGCATTCGGCGCAGATCTCATCAGCAACGTGTAGTGATTTGCGCGTTCTATATTGTTCCGTGCCCTCCGATCGAGACTACTATATACACTTCGTATCAGACATGCGGAGGTCCAGTACCCCACGATTCCCTTGCGCCGAAGAGACTGAGCATGGATTTAGCCGACAAGTCGGGTTTCGCAAGGTGACGAACATCATGAAAGCTGAACACCAGAAAATTCAGCGCAGATCTCTAGCAGCTTGTCTTGTGTCTTTTCGTCCTCTGTTGCTTTGTGAGGCGTGCCTTGGCGCTTGCCCGGGTGGAAATAGCACCCGCTCATTTTGGCCTTCTCTTCCTCTCCCTCAGCAAGCATAACGTAGCTTTCGACCGCCGCATCAACGCTGCCTGGCGCCGAACTGCCACCCATCTTGGTAGCCACCCAGCCAGGATCCAATGCATTGCTCTTCACGTCAGGCCATCTGCGGGCGAAAGCTTTGGCAAGCAACACATTGTGAAGTTTGCTCGCGCAGTAGGCGGCATTTGCGCTGTATTGACCTTCGCCGCGTTTCTGCCAAAGGACGTCGTCCAAACTAGGAGAACCTGATTGATGCATCTCGGAGGAGAGGAATACTAAGCGCTTGGGCCGAGTGATCAGTGCGGTGAGCACATATGGCGCTACGGTGTTGACGGCTGCCAGGGCTGGAATCCCCTCGCTTGTCTTGCGGAATGGGCCTTGATAAAGTCCGGCGTTGTGAATCACGCAGTCGAACGCTCCCAGCTTATTGACTTCGTTTGCCATGTTCTTGGTCTCTGCAAGGCTGGACAAGTCGCCCGTCACGACTGTGTCAGCCCCGGGACAAGCTGTCGTGGCGTCCTTTGCACGTTGAGCGTTGCGTGCATGAAGAACTGCATCGCATCAGCGCCTGGGCGACGTTCAACACGGGTAATTTAGATACATACCAACAGAATGTCCATTTGCGACGAGTCTTTTGGCGACGGCTGATCCGAGACCGTCGGAAGAGCCTGTGATAAGAATGCGCGCCATCATGTGGTGTGTTTCTAGGTGGTCTAGCGTTCGCAGGCTTGGACAGAACCTTGGACCCGTGGGCGTCGGGAAGAGGCGTGAGATTGATAGAAAGTGGCTATTGCTACGGCCGTTGTGGCGTCGTTACATCATGCCACTACAGAAACGGTAGATACGATGCGCTCGCATCGCAGCTCGGAAGTTACGTGTCCCGCCTGTCTCGAAGCGGGCATGGCGGGGGAGGGAGTTGGCCCCAGCGAAACGCACCAACCCAAGCGCCCGCCCGTCTCACGCCAGGCAGCACTCCTCCATCGACACTATTGGAGCACGACAATATACCTTAATTCATCCCATGTCGGTGCGGCGCATTAGCCAGTGCTTATTTGCGATAAGCTCGTCGACTAGGTGCGCCTCGTAGCGATGTGTGTGCCAAAGAGCTCGGGTTTGACGCATCTCGGGCCAGATTGATCTCGGGTCAGGCGTGCCTCAGCGCATCAAGGCTGAGCTCTGGACGCCTTGGACGCAAGAGCATCACAACTTCAAGGTATATAAGTAACGTGTGTCGCGTCCAACGAAATGCCTCAACACATCATCGCCAAACGACTCATCAGAACCATGGCTCTCGCAACAGCTCCCCAACTCAAAGTTCTTGTCAATGGCGCCGGCATCGCAGGATCAACCTTCGCCTACTGGCTCGCCAGAACAGGTCTGAATGCCTCCATCACCGTTCTAGAACGCTCGCCGTTCCCTCGACCCACCGGCCAGTCCATCGAGATTCGCGGTCCAGCCATCTCCATCGTCGAGAAGATGGGTCTTTTGCCAAGCGTACTTGCACGCAACACCACGGAAGAGGGCACACGCCTGATCAACGCACAAAGCAAGATCGTCGCCGAGTTTGGAAAAGGCGGCTTCACATCCGAGTATGAGATCTTACGATCAGATCTCTGCGGCCTATTCCTGGATGCGTCAAAGAGTATGAAGAATGTGAAATACGTGTACGGCGACTACGTCACAGCGGTACAACAAACAGACCAGTCGGTGGACGTGACCTTCGACAGTGGAGCAACAGACAAGTTCGACCTCATCGTTGGCGCAGACGGCTCAGCGTCACGAACACGCTCCCTTATCCTGGATGAAGAGACGCTCAAGGGAAGTTACAACTTCATCGGGCAATACGTCGCATACTTCAGCATTCCCCGCCAGGAATCCGACACGAAGCACTGGTATTGGTACAACGCACCAAAAGGCCGAGGCTTGATGACGCGACCGCATCGCAACGGCAAGACGATTGGGTGTTACGTCATCATCACAACGCCAGCACATGGACACTACGATCCCCTCGTCGAAGCAGCGATGGAAGGCGGTCCCGAGAAGCAGAAAGAAGTCCTTCATACGTATCTCGACGATGCGGGGTGGCAAGCTGAGCGCATCCTCGCCGGCATGGACGCATGCGACGACTTCTATATGAGCCGCTCAGCGTACGTCAAGCTTCCTACATGGACGAACAATCGCGCTGTTCTTCTTGGCGATGCAGCCCACGCCACATTCGGTGTTGGCACTACCCTCGCTGTCGAGGGCGCATACTTCCTCGCAGGCGAACTCGGAAAGATCAAGACTACCAACGATATCCCAGCGGCGCTCAAGCGCTACGAAGAGACGTACCGAAAGGTCCAAGGTCAAGGTGCAGACTTGCCGCCTGGCTTCCCTCAGTTCGCTTTCCCTCAGACTGCCTGGGCAATAAGGCTACGCGACGCACTCGCCTGGACGTTCTGCAAGACGAAAGCGTATAAGTTGTTGCCGGAGGACAAGCCGGATGATTCGAAGCTGCCGCCGTACGAATGGGTCGCGGTGTGAGTAGGGGGCTCTCACGTGTTTCTTTGCTTCACAACAACGATACCAAATGCGATTGCTCTGTTATCGCCATCCTTCTCTCTATTCTATATGCGCTGATTAGGAGACACAAATACACCACTGTAACTACTCATATACTCACAGCCTACTTCGCTGTCCCTTCCATGGTTCTGTGCAATATAAAGGACTCCTTGCGCTGGCTCGATATGAACAAGACACTCTACCACGGCACCTCGTTACGGCGTTATCCTTTGCTTGTTCTTTACAACATCTCCATAGTTAGCTTTCTTAGCGAATCCAGTATCAGCTCACGATGGCTCTCACCGACCTACTTCCTGCGCGGCATGCGTTGATCGCATTATTGCCAGAGACTAGCCGCAGTCTACCCACGCCTCTAATGTTTGTGTCGACCCGCCTCACAGAGTGGCCAATCTACCAATCTCTACATCGCAACATCTACCCAATCTCATTCCTCTTCGTCTTTCTGCTCCGCTACTTCCGTGTCCTCATCAGTCTATACGGCACCTATAGATACCGGCCTACACCCATACCGCTACACCCCACATACCACATCAACGACGTCACAGTCATCATCCCCACCACAGACCTCATGTGCGAAACTCTGCATCACGTCGTCCGCTCCATCCTCGCCCAAAGCGTCCCCAAGCTCATCATCGCCACCGCTGGAACCCAAGCCTCCGAACAATTCCGCGCATTTCGAGCTTTATTCCCAGAGAGCAAGGTCGTAGTGGCCCATCGCGTCAAAGCCTCCCGCCGCGAACAAACAGCCCAAGCCCTCAAACAAGTCTCCACGCGCCTCGTTATCCTCCAGGACGACCACACCTACTGGCCCCAATCCCCTCGCTTTATCGCCTCCGTAATCGCGCCCTTCGAAGACGCAAAAGTCGGTGCCGTAAGCGCCGATTTACAAGCTCGACACCGCGGCCACCCCTTCTCCTTTTCTGGGTTCTGGAACTTCATGGGTATGACATACCTGATGCGGCGCTCCTACGAGTACAGAGGCACCTACGGCATCGACCGCGGCCTCTCAACCCTCCCAGGCCGTTTCGGCGTCTTCCGCACAGCCATCTACGCGTCGCCTGAGTTCCTAAACGGGTATCTGAACAGCTACATGCCGTTTAAGAGCGAGCCCTTGAATTCCGATGACGACAAGTTCCACACGCGCTGGCTGATTGAGCATGATTGGGATTTTGGGCTGCAGGCTGGACCGGATAGCGTTATGACGACGGAACTGGGGGAGTGGCCGAAGTTTATGGGGCAGGTTCTGCGCTGGACGCGGACGACTTGGCGGAATAATCCGGCGCAGTTGATGGGTGGGTTGACGTGGAAGCGGCATCCGTTTATGTCGTGGAGTTTGCTTATGTGGTTCTTCCGGCAGTCGCTTACACAGGAGGCGTGTATGTATATGACTCTTCGGGCGTCGCTGAGACAATACGGGAAAAGTGAGTACTTTGCTGGTAGCGCGATTGCGCTTGCGATCTGGATCTTGGGGTTCAAGTTTGTTAAGATTCTGGAACACTTTCGCAAGCATCCGCGCGATGTTGTGTATTTTCCGGCGTATCTGCTGTTTGGGCATTTGCATGCTTTTGTTAAGATTTGGGCGATGCTGACTTGTATGAATGTTTCTTGGACTACGGCGGAGAAGGTAAATGGAAATTTAGGGGTGGCAAAGGTAGAGGAGGTGGTGGTGGAAGACAGCGACAAGAAGGAAATACCTACGAAGAGAGTGGCGTTGGATGTACCCGCAGCTCCCCAGGGTAGGCCACAGCGACCAGCCTTGTTTGTACGGAGGTCGCGGTACTACTCTCAAGCGCCAGGGGTTGGTGGATGGTTGGGGTGATTCTTTTGCGGTGCTTTTAGCATCGCATCATCGAAATTGATGACTTGTTCCATGTATTTTTCTTGTCATATAATGCATTACAAAGCCAATTATAGGAAACAAGAATTCAGCGCTCATGAACCTACTTAACAGAGACCATGAGTTCGAGATGCAGTGTCTGGCCTACAGAGTGAAGGTCGGATGGGCAAAGGTGGTGTGAATGCGCTTGCTCGGCTGGGTAAAGTACGGCGCCCCTCCATTCTGCCCTGCATGCATTTGCGTGCGGTCGACGTCAACGATCCGTTTCGCGCCAGTGCCAGCGCAAAGCCCATTCAAGCTTTGTCGCATTGTCTTTGCCCTTGACCCTCTTAATCGCGGCCACTGCCGGTTTTACTTTCTTTTCGCATATCCACTCTCAACCCGCTTCCACGACCGTCTGATCTTTTCGAGATTGTACAAAATACCCCGCAGCACAACGCGCGATAGTTGTTTGACGTCTGCGCGAGGGTGATCAACCTTTTAATCGCGTGCGTCACTAGTCTTGGTACACAGGCTTGGAAGTTGGGCAATTCCAACCTTGGGGTCTGACAGTCAGCCTGGTCCCCGCTTGCCGTTCCCCACTCTTCTGCCCATCACACCTGCGATCAGCGCTGCACTCACGCCTCAACCATGGAGAACAACCTGAGCGCCGCCCGAGCATCCCGGCGCTATTTCGACGAGCGCCTGCGCAACGACTGGGAGTATCCCGACGTGCCTGCCATCTGGTCAGCCTCGGACGAAGAGGTGCGCGACGCTGCCGACTTTCGCGAGCGCTACTACGGCGAGTCGGAGTCTGGAGACTCGGATCAAGAAGATGAAGGTGTCGGCCCGTACAGGTTCGACAACCCTGAGAGCATCGGCGATGCGGTAGCGAGCACAAGAGAGGCGCGCAGAAGGCGCCGTCGAGAGAGGCTGGAGCGCGAGATGAAAGAGAATGAAGGACTGAGGATCTGGGTCGAGCGACGAGACGTGTGGACGGGCGCAGCGAGCGTGAAGAAGTACGGCACGAACCGCCAAAGACAGGCCAACCGCCCGTCTTCTGCAGCAGGCTACTCGTCCGAAGAGCACGCCGTCACACCCACCGGCTCGGAATCGCACTCTATCACCAGCGCCACGCCCGACACCTTCGACCTCGTCCCCGTCGCGCCGCGTCTTCTCGAGGACAACCCGATCCGTGCGTCCATCACGCCCAAAGCATACCGCGACATCTTCCAGAAGATCGTAGTCTCGTCGCGCACGCCCTCGGTGCCCATCAACCTCGCAGACATGACCAAGGCGCTGGTACAAGGCTGGAAAGACTCGGATGAGTGGCCTCCAAGGGTAGCTGCGGTTGACCCTCTTGCCGGTAAGAAGCGCACTATTACCGGTACTCCATCCAACGGCCATCATGGAGGTTTCATAGCCCGACACCCCCATCTGGAGAAGAGTGTAGACGGCATGAAGCGGATCCTGCATCTCAACGGGCACCACGAACATGGGCACGAACAGGACAAGGAGTATGAGCAGGGTGGGAAAGAGGGCTGAAGCATAGTCGCGGATGAGTCGGTGCTTGTCCTTCACAACGCTGATGCATAGTCCATCCAGGAAATACCCTCTTCCACGCGTACCGCGGTACCAACGACGCTCTGCCTACGCCAGAGGACCGCACGAACCTGCTGCGTGCTTCACTATCCTGGCGCGCCCCGACGATCGATGCGAACAAGGGCAATCTCTGGTCGACGGGGTAGGGGTTGTATGCACGCGGGCAGTCTCTTACAAGACACGAGCATGTCAGGCGTCTAGATTGAAGCATGCCGACCTCGGCATTCGCATTCACAGTCGCACATTACGCGATCGAACAAAGCGCTGGTGGAGTTGAGTTACAACAGGCGAAGATCACTGCTGAGAAGGGTGCTCGCATATATCTCGGCGATTGATTTTGATCAGATTGATTGATAAGATAATTTTCTTCATGATACCCCCACATAATCCCAGCTTGTTACTACACAATATCCACCGAGATCGCCTGACTTTGCCTGATGTACGAAAGTAGCGGTCGTACATACTAAAAGTGCGTATGCTTGCACGGATCTGCATGCGTATATTTCGGCCGATAGTGTAACGTCGGTCTGTCGGCCGCTGGCGCGAGGCGACTGCAGTCACTTTACGCCTTGTGCGGGGCTGGTATGCCGACGCTTAGTGGACGTGGCCTTGCGTAGCCTTACGTAGCCTTGACAGCTGCCACAGCCTAAAGGCCATATCGCCTTGCAGCGCTTTATCTGCTCCGCTCTTTCGGACTCCTCGGTCGCCGTAGACCGCAAGTGGACACACCATGGAGGTGAGACCGTTGGGTAGGGCGGGCAGTCGGTAGCCCGCTGTACTGCAGCGTGATGATCCTCATACAAGGTACAAGTGACGGGGTGTATTCGTCCGCAAGCGCATAAGTTGTTTGCGATAGCCAGCTCTTTTCTGCCGTCGGTAATTCTTTCGTCTTGCTCTTTTTCCTCTCTCTGCTTGATAGATCGATCATCTCATCAAGACTCTTCTTCTTCTTCTTTCTTCGATACCAACCTACCACATCTTCTTAACCTTGGAAGCAAGCGACCATGCCAGGCACCCTCCAAACCCCCCAACCCAATGCCTTCCCCCCCGGTCGCCGCGGAGTCTACCTCCTCACGCACCCCCGCTCAGCGTCCAATCTCTTCCAAACCATGATGTCCAAGCAGCCGGGCTACCAGAACTCCGGCTACAAGCTCTTCGACGGTGGCTTTGCGACGCTGATGAGCCTCGAGAAAGGGCCGCTGAGCGAATGGCCTGAGGAAGAAAGGACGGCGTTATATGAGACGTTCAAAAAGGCGTTTGGTAGCTTGGAAGACGAGTTGGACGATTGCGCGAAGAATGTAAGTAGGAAACGGTGGAGGGATGAGGTGAGGTGAAGTGTGGGGTTGGGGAGTTATGTATAAGGGCAAGGCTGCGCCACAACCGCACATGCTCCCGTCGTGATCCGCCCACGAGATGACGTGCTCGGGCTGGCCCGTCCCACGAATCGCGGTTCCAGTTCAAGCCTCATTTGGAAACACGAACTAACGAATCTCCAACAGGGCAAACAAGCCTTCGTAAAAGAACACACAATCTTCCTCTCGGGCCCCGACCGCCTCTTCTCCACCGTCTACCCGTCCGACAACCCCCCAGCCCTAACCATCCACCCACGCAATGCCTCCCCTTCCTCCCCTCTTACGCACACAAACCCCACCTCAGTCCCCGACTCCCTCCTCCTCACTCTCCAACCCATCTTCCAAATCCGACACCCAATCCTAATGTTCCCATCCATGCTGCGCGCGCAGAAGGATTCGTTTCCGGATACTAAGCCAAGGACGTTGTATACGTGTACGACGTATACGTTGAAATATACGAGGGCGTTGTATGAATGGTATGCGGAGCGGGAGGCCACGAGCGGTATTGTGCCGCGTATCATCGACGCGGATGACATCATGAACAGTCCCTCCGCCGTCCGCCAGTTGTGCCTGCAAACGGGTCTGGATCCAGAGTCTGTGCTGTACGAGTGGGAGGAGAAGAAGATTGAAGATAATCCGCTCATGGCGCGTTTCCTCAGTACGATCAACGCGTCAGTAATATCCCTGTTACGAACTGTATGTGAGACAAGCACTGACTTGGTACACCAATCTTTAGATCCAAGGGCATTAAGAAGGGGTATGAAGCCAAAGGTTTAACGATGGAAGTCGAGAGGAAGAAGTGGGTGGACGAGTGGAACGAGGAGTTTGCCGCGGATTTGGAGGATTTTGTGAGTAGGGCGATGGATGATTATGAGTTTCTTTGGGAGAGGAGGGTTACGGGGGAGGGGTTGGAGGAGAAGTAGATGATGGGATGGATTGTGGAGGTAAATCTGTGATGATATTATGAAGTGAGGTTTATAATAATTACATGGGTTGGGTTGACGCCAAAGATAGTGTACTACGATGGACAAAATCCACTCACTCGACAGCATGCGTTATATCACTTCCATTTCGACCATGTTGTTCCAAAATATGCGAACTAACTAGACTCGCTCTGTAGATACGCCATGAAGTACTTTACCCCCCATGCTACCAACCATTCCACCTCCTCTAAACCTAACCATATCATACACACCTCACAACAAACCCACACCCATCACCCCTCCACCCCCTCACCAAAAGCCCCCAGCCTCACTTCTTCTTCCCCTTAGCCACCGCCTTCCCCTTCCCTTTCCCCTTAGTCTTAACCTCCTCCTCCTCATCCTCCATCTCCTCATCCTCCCCATCTTTCTTCTTCTTACCCCCCTTCTTCGCAGCCGCAGCACCCTTCTTCGGCGCGGCCTTCTTCTTAGGCTGCTTAACATATTTATCCTTTGACAAGTCAACATCTTCTTCTTCATCTTTAACCTCCTCCACAACCTCGCCGTCGTCAGATTCGTCAATCGCTTCTTCAAGATCCGGTTTCTCTTTGGCTTGTTTCTTGGGTTGGGCAATGGACGAGGCTTTCATGAAGGGGAGGGGGTGGGATTGTTGGTTGTAGCTGTGAGGGGGGTTAGTAGTGTAAGGGGGCGATGATGAGATAAGGTGGGGACTTACAGGCGTGTAAACGTGGATTTGGTTTGTGAGTCGATCTTGACCTTTTCCTGGTCCATGGGTCCGACGCCTAATTCCATGATTGCGTCGAAGTCGTCTTTGGTGAGGTAGTAGCTGTCCATCAGTTCGATGACTTGTGGGACAGCGTCCTTGCCCTCTTTCTGCAGCTTCTGCACCAGGTCCGTCCAGAGAAGTGGGACGTACTGCTGCCGAACCTCGTGTCGATCGCCGGAAGACCGCAACCTCATGTGAGCTTGGATCTCCTTGATCATTCGGCTCAGCTTGTTTGTAGAACTGTTCTTTCCAAGCCATGATGTGAAGCGCGTCTGGTTACCAGCAGTGCTACCAGCGACATAGCTTGCAGGCCTGACGAAACTGAAGACTGCGTGTGTAGGCATCAAACTCCACTGCTGCTGAGAGCCGTGAATCATGCGATCAACAAGATCACCATCGCTGATACTGTCGGCTGCTAGCGACGCCAACTCCAGGTTCTTCAGGTTCTTCTCTTTGCCGGAGTAGTTCAAGGACTGCATCGGGTTCGTGCCGAGGTAGTTCTCCTGCAACATCAACGGACTGAATTCGTGGTCGTTGAAGTAAAGTTCAATCTTCTCGTTGAGTGTGGCTTTGCTGCTCGAGGCGAACATGCCGCCACCAAGAATCTTCTGCGTGATGTCCCATGGCTTCAAGATGACATGCTTCTCCCAGCTCTTAGACATCGTCTTGCCCTTGTCGAAATCCATGGCTGTTTGGTCGAGTTTGGCTGTGGAAATCATGTTGACGACCTGGCGGATATCGGCGTGGCTGCCTTCAATGAGTGCATTGACAACTGGCGCAGGCATCTTCAAGCCTTCTCGGTACGCGATGGTCATGATGCGCGATCGTACTTGGTCGACAGTGGGCCGTCGGAAAGGCAGATCGAATGTAACGTAGTCGAAGGGCTTCATCTTTGGCAGCTTCCTGTCGTTGCAGATGAGGATCATTGGAACCTCCGTCTTCTTGCACACGGCTGCGAGCGCACCGACACCACCACGGTCACCCGCAGACATGCCGTCGACTTCGTCCATGATCAGAACGAGCTTCTTCTTAGCTGCCTCAACCTTCTTTCCGTCGCCAGCAAAGTAGCCGTGGAGTGAGTTGGTGCTAAGGACGCCGCGTAGACCGTCTTCGATGAGCTTCTTACTTCGGGTATCACTGGCGTTTCTCTCCACGATATCGTATCCCTCCAGTTTGGCGACGAGATGCGCTGCGGTAGTCTTGCCAATACCCGGTGGGCCATGTAGCATGATGGCACGGAAGTTTCCGCTACCGTCTTTGCCAGCCAACTTGAAGCCAGTCTTGAGGTTCTTTGGGAACATCTGCAACCAGCGCTGGATCCTCTCAACCGTCGCCTTGTTGCCGCAAATCTGGTTGAGTGATGTGGGCGCATACTTGGTAGTCCACAAACGGGAGTCTACGGCCGGGCCTGCACTCTGTGCAGCTGCTGTGACGGCAGAGGCTGTCTTGCTACCGGAAGCTTTCGCTGCTGCCGACAGCTCTTTCTGACGCTTCTTCTCCTCTTGCTCAAGCTCTGCAGCTTGCTTCTTGATCTTTTCCTCCTCCTTGCGTTGCTTCTCAGCGTGCTCGGCCTGTGCCTTGCTGTCGCCCTTGTTGCCAGCCGCAGTCAGCTTCTCGATAAGCACCGTCAAGCCATCCTCGTCGATCGTCTTGATTTCCATCTCTTGAATCTTCCGCAGTTTGCTCGGGCCAGCATCTGTGCCTAGGACAACATAGTTTGTCTTCTTGCTTGGAGCGCCAGTGACCTTGCCGCCGTGGCGCTTGACCAGCTCTTGAGCTTCTGTGCGACCCCATTTCTGCAACACACCAGTGAAGACGAATGTGAGACCCGCAAGACATGTCTCTGAGCCTGAGGGCATCTCGCTGGATCCGCCTCCGAGTGGTGCAGCTTCCCCACGACCTGCATTCGCCTGCCAGTTGAACTTGGCATTATCGTCTTTGGGCGGTGGCGTGGGCGCGCGCACTGTAGGAATACTGTCGTAGATGGCCTGGATGTCTGCACTATCTTCGACCTCCTCCTTCTTGGCCTTCTTCTTCGCTGGCGATTTTGGTGTCGTCGTTGTGGCCTTCTTCGGTCGTCCTTTCTTGGGCTTCTCCTCCTCTTCCTCTTCATCATCGGATATGGGTGACTTTCGCTTCTTGCCTGCAGTCGATGTCTTCTTTGGCTTGCTCTTCAGCGCTTGCTCATCCTCGTCGGGCTCCACAAAGTCGTCTTCTGCGTCGATGTCCTTCATGTCGATGTCTTCGTCTTCTGGATCGAAGTCGTCTTCCTCCTTAATCGTCTTCTGCTGCTTGGCTGGAGCCTTTGGTGTTCCGCGATGTGGCAGCTTCACGGGTACATCGTCATCGCTCTCCGAGGCTTCCTTGTAGTCGTCCTTGCCTTTGCCCTTGATGTTGGCCTCGAAGATATCGTCTGCGTCCTCCAGGTCGTCGTCCGGGAACTCGTCCTCGTCATCCCGCTCGGCATAGGATTTGACGGGTTTCTTCGCACGACTAGTTGTCTTCGCATTGGTAGCCGGAGTAGCCGTCTTCGCAGTTTTTCCGTTCGACTTCGCGGGTGCCTTCTTCGGTGTCGCAGCAGGTGTCTCCGCCGCCTTCTTCTTGACAGGCTCGGTTCGCTTGGGCTTATTCGAGCTGGCAAAGAAGTCGGATGTGGTGGTCTCTTCGAGTACAGGTTCTGGTGTCGGTTCGCGCTTGACCTTCTTTGCGGCGGGCTTCTTGGGTGTCGCTTTCTTTGGCCTGCACACTGTCAGGTTTGACGTCACCGAGTCAAAATTGTATACTTACTTCGCCTCTTCCTCATCATCGTCGTCAGAGTCCTCTACAACACGACTTGTGCGCCCCTTCTTCTTAGGCGCGGCCTTCTTCGGCGCAGGCTCATCTTTCTTCTGCGATCCCTGGCTTGCCTTCGGGGGCCCGCCGCCAAAGAAGCTGCGGATGTCGGCAGGCATCTTGACGATGAAAAACGCGTGTAATCAGATTGTAACAGTGTGACGCGTTCGCTGGCAAGTGTTGAGCCGGACAATGGGGGGAAATGGGGTTTGGGTGGGTTGATGGACAACAGGCGCCATTGACGTGCACGACGCGACTTCGCGCGGTCATTAGGCAATTAGGCAGGCGCATTGACGCCACACCCCCGCGCGCGCCACAGCAGCCACAGATGTGTCTTGGCATCAGAACTTCGACACCAAAGTTACGGAACGATTGGCCTGGTTCAGGTCCAACATCACAACGCCATGCCGCCACCCAGGATATCACAGAGCCTGCTGGCTCAATTCGGTCGACTGAACATCTCCGCATCACGGCCCACACGTACAACGCCCAAATTCCACCTCCGACAGCTCTACTAACAAACCCCCAGTACTCCAGCAGACATGCCTCTCCAAACCCCAACCCTCCGCCCTTAATACCGCCCGCCTCTTCTCCACAACCCGTCCCGCTCTCAACTACCTCGCCCCCAAAGCCGGCGAATCACGCAAATCACGAAAAGGGCGCTGCCGCGTCCCCACCGGCGGCAGCATGCGCGGCACAACCGTCGTCTGGGGCGACTACGGTCTCCGCATGCGCGACCACGACCGCCGCATCTCCGCGCAACAACTCCGCATCGCCGAAGAAACCATCCGCAAACGGCTTCGAGGCATGAAATTCCGGCTCTACATGCGCATCGCCGCCAACATCGGCGTGTACACCTCTGGCAACGACGTGCGCATGGGCAAAGGAAAAGGTAGTTTCGACCGCTGGACTGCGAGGGTGGCGGTGAGCAAGATCATCTTTGAGATTCAGGGGGATTTGCACGAGCAGGTTGTCAAGGATGCGTTTAGGCTGGCGGGGAATAAGTTGCCGGGGCTGTATGAGTTTGTGAGGAAGGGGGATGCGCCGGTTATGGGGATTACGAAGGTGGGGTTGAATGGGGTTACGGAGGAGGATTTGAAGAGGCCGAGGAGGAAGGAGCCGCTGGAGCAGACGGCTGGGAGGATACCTGATGCGAGTTCGGGTGCGCCGGCGAATGGGCCGAGGGTGGAGATGTAGATGGGGGTTGGGATTGAGGCTGTGGACTAGAAGGATTGGGGTCGTCTGCCAATTCAGCTGCGTGGACGATGTTGTCAAGTGTAAATGCAATGTGTAGCATGTATCATAAGAGAACATGTATTGAACTGTACAATTTTGAAATCGACAATGGACAGTATGATCAATATCAACCCTGAAGAAAGCACAA